AACATTTTTGATAAGGTTTAGTAAAGGGAGCGAGTGTGTTTAAGTTGTTGGTTGGTGTGTTCTGTAGGTAAGCGTAGCAGTTGCAGACATTTTGGGGGTGCCAAATGTTTTATGGAGTGTGGAGGTGTGTGGTGATTAGTCAGCACAAGGCGTTTATGATATTATACCTCACTGGTTTACGCCCTGTAAAGTTGTTGTAACGTGACTAGATGCGAATTGGTGCCCGGCACTTTTGCGATGTGTGTGTGTGTTATATATATATATATATATAAGAGTTATTTCTCTCTCTACTGGTGTGTTAGCTTTTATCTTGGGCTGAAAAATTTGTTTTCATTGTGCCGTGGTTTGTAGTTGAAGTGGTGGAAAATAAATTAGGTATGCCAATAAATACGTCAGGTGTGAGCTCAGCTTCCGCTCACAAATAGGCTATGTAAATTAATAAAAAGAACTGTAACCATCGTTCCCAATTTCTGGGGAAGTTATAATAAATATGACAATATATTGCTTTCCTTTTTGTTGGTCATGATATAATTTATAAGCTTAACATCAAGAAAAAATGTATCTCGTTACTTTATGAGGGTACTTGTTAGCTTACTTGGTTGAGGCAGTATGCTACAAGACGGAAGGTCGTTGGTTCGATTCTCGATGAGGTCATTGAATTTTTCATTTGGCCTAATCCTTCCAGCTGCATTATGGCAGTGAGGGCGATGCAGCCTCTAACAGAAATGAGTCCCAGGAATCTTCCTGGTGGGTAAATGGAAGCCGGTGCGTAGGTCTGGCAATACTACCCCATCTGTGAGCCGATTGTCTAGAACAGGGGTCTCCAAACTTTTCGAACCGCGGGCCACATTAGGTAATTCAGCACTTTCAACGGGCCGGATAAAATGAGAAACTAATAACTCTAGGTATATGAGTTTTATTGAAAGCACAGAATTTCATAAACTAAATACAAAATACGTGAGAATAAATTATCGTATATTAATGACAACAGACAGTAGCAGCAAATGCTCATATTTTCATCACAAATTATAATAAAACAATTAATGTGAATGATGGAACTCTTTTTGCATTCTTAAAATCTGATTAAATTGAGGTTCAAATTTTGAAAATCTAATCACAAGTAGCGACTTTAAATGTTAATTGATAAATTTGCCCTGTATTTAGACTTGATGTACTTCATCTGGGTAAAAGTTCGTTCACACAGATATGTCGTCCCAAAAATGGAGATAAATTTACAATCAAATTTCTTTAAATTTGGAAATTGCTCAGAGTTCAGAAATTTATAAAATTCGATCAAATTTCCTTCCTTGTATTTGTCTTTAATATGATAATTTTCCTGAAGTTCAATAATTTCCATTTGAATTTGACTTGGAACATCTGCAGCATCACAGTCAAACGGATTTTGAAACAATGTAATTTCCTGAGCACTGGAATCCAAATCAGCAAATCGCTTCCGAAATTGTTCTTTCAAATCTGAAATGACTAAATTTGCAAACGAGGAAGGAAATTCTGCTTCACCCTTTTTATGCAACTCTGCACAGTATAGCATATGAACAAAGTTACAATTTTTCACTTGGCTTTCCAGAAGTATCAACTTTGCTCTGAATGCCTTGATAAGTGCAAATAAATCACAGACTAAGTTTTTTTCACCCTGCAGCTTTAAATTCAAATGGTTCATATGGTTCACCAGATCAGCAAAAAATGCTAATTTCCAAAGCCACTTGGTATCAGATAAAAGTGGTTCGTGATGGTTTTTCTCGGTAAGAAATATATCAGTTTCATTCCTGAGCTGAAAGAAGCGCGAAAGAACCTTTCCACAGCTAAGCCACCGAACTGCAGTATAATATGTCAGGTCAATAAGCTCGGAATCACATTTACCAGTACCCACTGGAAAATTAGTCAATTGGCGCATTTCTGCACAATTCTTTCGCGGGCCGGATAAAATCACATCGCGGGCCGTAGTTTTGAGACCCTTGGTCTTGAAGGTACAGGAGCCTCGACGTCTTACATCCCTATGGGCCTTCACGGGCTGTTGCAGGGATAGCTTTAGTTTCCAGTTACTTTAAACGTTTATTTGTTCAAGACTAGTTCCCGAATCATTTGCACGTATTTCGGATCTCTCAGTTATGTCAGCATTCCGGTCTATAGATCTGAGTAGGTTCTCTTTAATTTCCATTATTATTTCTTATTTCTATGGCACTATATTAAATCCAAAAAAAGAGGCAATTTACCTTATATCTTCCAATATAAATTCACAGTTGTTTTCAGGATGACTGATATAAGCACGTATTGTGTGTATAACACTGAGTTAAGCCATCTAGTAACGTGACATCGGATACTCAGCTAATTGGGAGTAATTATTTTCGTCATATGAATAGAACATAATTACTAGAAGAGTTATTCGCATTTCTCGTCATTAAAAATCTGTCAGGTAATAAATATGTTACCTACATCTCTTTACGTACGTCATTTTTATAACACTACTATCAGTTTAATTGTTTTGGAGAACTGATAAATCAATTAAAATTTAATCACTCATAACTGTATTAGTAATTCATTTTCCGTCATATTTAATTAATCTGATGTGAGTAAAGATTACGGTTATTGTAGAAACGGTGTCCATTCTATTGTCGTTTCTAAAGTCCCCATCATGAAGCCGTATAAATCATTTTCACTATTACACGCTGAAGTATGTGGGTCTACATACGTGTTAATTCCTGGTGCAAGTGTCTGTTAAAATGTTTTGTCGCTGAAAGACGAAGGGACATCATTGTCGAGGCAACACTACAACATCGCTACTGCTAGTTAAACAGGCGAGGGAAGGTGGACTTCTTTTTAATGTCGAGATTTATGGTTTGTTTATATCTTGTCAACATGGCGGCTGGAAGGAGAGAGCAAGAGAATGGAGGGAGAGTCAATCTGATTTATGGGCGGAGCGTGTTGGTGAAGACAGAAGAGGGGAGACACAGCTGACAAGTAGAAAAACGGCCAAGCACAATATGCAACTTCGGCGCCATCTATTGCAAAGACTCATAACTATACGCTACATGCCATGAAAGATCTATTGGTAAGCAGCAAACTTAAAGCAGGTTTTGTATGTTCAGTCGATATTGCAGTAACTTAACAGTAAACAAGAGTTTCTTATTTTAAACGCTATTTGACACGACTACTAACTGGGAAACTAGAGGTCATCACATCTGTGACTATGAAGACCGCGTCTTCTGCGATGTTATGCCGTGTGGTCCAGTCCAAGCTCGCCGACATTTCGAAGGAACATACCGCCTCCAACTTCAGTGTCGAAGAGTCGACAGTGGCAAGAAATAGTAAATAAGCACAGCCTCTTCGTTATTTGACTGGCTTACTCTTTGATTGAGGTAGTACGTTCCTCCGAAACGTCGGTGAACTACACGGCGCTACGTACCGAAAGAAAGTTCTCTTCACATAGGTTCCATTTGTTTGCTTAACTAATGAGGCTATAAGAGATAAATATTTGTGACGATGGTATATTTATAAAATTATTGTGTTTCTGAACATATCCATTTTTATGTTTTTATTTAAAATGCACGACGTTTCGGAGACTAGATTCTGTCTCAGTCTTCAGGTAAAACCTACTCAATTGGGTCCAATTGATATATCTAGTCCCAATCTCCCAATTATGAATGATTTTTAAGATTCTATAACCTCAAGAAGAGATTCAAGGAGCAAGCTGGTGCACGTGTAGCGCTCCAGAACTGAATTCAGCAGGCACTTGCTTTTATGGCTTCCCTCAGTTCCTCCAGCGAAAGACAGAGATAACACCTCGACCTGGCCACTGCTGCTTTATCCCAAATCAGTTCCAATTCATTATTCACTATTCATCCCACCGTCTGATGTTATATATTCTGAGATACTGACAGCGTTACCGAGAAGAAGCAGCAAGCTCGTTGCTTACTCCATGCTGGTTTCCCACTTGTCTTACTCTTAGACCCTGAAATTTGAAATGAAATTTTCCTCCGAAACGTCGATTGTCTTTCACCGAACTACACGTCGTTATATCCTCGAAGACAGAACTCTTCGTAGTCACCACTGTCAGAGCCTCGAATCCAGCATAATTAAATCATTGCTTGGCGAGTAGCCGGGTAATTTGCATAAATTTCAGGGGTCCACGACAATAATTATCGTTGTTATTAATCCTATTATACTGTTACCTACTGCTAACTCTGTTCTGTAATCCTAGTCATAGACCAAGATTATTTTGTGACTCGTTAATTGTTGTTCGGACAGACAAACAAGAGCTCCCATAATATGCTAGATTTAATGCATGGCCTTGCCAGGTCACAAGAACGCACTGGTGATGCATATATTCAATTTCAAGAGCGAGATTTGACAACGTTGAAAAGCTGGAGCTCTGTTTCTCTCGGCGCGATAAGCCATCACTTACCAGACTTATTGTTTCAGCCCTGCAACACATTCTTCCGTCGATAAGAATTGACTCATGAAAAATGTGTTCTTGTTCGGAATAGCCCATACCGTAAGAATAGATTACAATTGAGCAACTTTACGTCAGTGCCTCCATCTATTGAGCAGTAATATGAACGAGCTCATTGGTATGTCCTGTCTGTTGCCAACCTTTCTGCGTTGACGTGCTACCAGGACTACCACAACTGGCAGAAGACCTCGGTCAGTGACACATATCTTACAGCTTGTCAGACCGGTCACATTTAAGTAGAAATGACCCAGTTACCGTTTTATGATGCAGAATCAATAGGGTTACATAATTTTCTTTATGTAAAGACGCCATGAATAGCTAAACATATACAGCATTCAAGATAGGATCGCTAAAGAAGCGAAACTAATCTGAAAGGAAGGGGCGGTGACCTAATTCGACAGAGTATACTCGAATTTTCCTGGATGGAATGAGACAAATCACGAGGTATCTCTTTATAGCCGGCCCCTAAGCCGAAGCGCACACTCGGGGCCTCATCAACACGAAGCAGGAATGCTAATCAGTATATGAGTCGTTAGGCTGAGGTAACGCATCCACTTATATTTCTTTTGACCGAAGCATGAAGCTGACCACTCACTTCTTCTAAGTCCGAGATAAGGAATGCCAGATCTTCGGCGGTGATTATGCACCTTACTGCAACAACAACAACAACAACAACAGCAACAGCAACAACTACTACTACTACTACTACTACTACTACTACTACTACTACTACTACTACTACTACAACCACAACCATAACCACAACTGCCATTACTACTACCACTAGTGCTACTATTACTACTGTCACAACAGCTACTGTTACTATTACTACTGCCACAACCACAACTGCTACTGCTACTACTACTGCTGCTGTTGCTACTACCACCGCAAACACTACTGCTGCTTCTGCTACTGTTGCTACTACCACTACTACCACTTCTACTACCTTTGCTACTGCTTTTACTACTACTACTACTACTACCACCACCACCACAAAAACCACAAGTAGTACTACTGTAATGAATGAACAATACACGTATATTCAAGTAGATGAATAAACTAACAGGATCTGCAGGTATATCCCTATCTCATACTGTTAAAATGCCGCTATAAACATTAATTAGAATTTTTCCAATATTACTGACGAGTTTCATATTTCTCGTTACATAGAGCTGAACTCTCAGAAACTGCAGCGCTCACCAGATCCACAGAATGTACGAGATGGAGAATCCAGCCGTAGTAATTAACTGTCACAGACTTAATGATGCTTCTTTAGCATAAACTTTGTTACATCTCTCTTTTCCATTTCGTTGGAACCATTGATCTGTCTCTTACGCACAAGGGAAGCCAACCACTAGGTGCTTATCTCAGTTTCATTCTTGAATTCCACTTGGCTGAGTTCTCCGTGTTTCAGAAATATAAAAACCGCTATAATATTCTTCCCAGTCCTTCTCTAGCCACATCCTGAAACATTCTTTTTACTGTTCGGGCCACCTTTATCAAGTGAATAACAAATGTGCAACTGCAGGTTGTATGATAATATTTTTCAAAGGCTGGTAAATGTGATTCTTACAGCAACACTGCTTACATTACAGTCCATACATATTGGCGTGTGGAAAGGATCAATGGGTTCCCATAAAGCGTGAAAGATGAAAAGACCAATGCCTATTTTAAGTGCAATCCCGGAATTGTACACGAATCGGAGTATCTCAGTAAAAAGAAAGGTAAAGCTATCTTTATAACAAGCAGTGGAGGCCCATAGGAATGTGAGACGTCGAGGCTCCAACATTTTCTAGACAATCGGTTCACAATTGGCGGTAAGACTCTCAGTCTTATGGACCTACCGTCCTTCATCCCAAGGAAGATTCCTGGTACATATTTCTCCTAGAAACCGAGTCGACCCCAGGGCTGAAAGGATTAGGTCAATTGAAAAATCCAATGATCTCATCGGTAATCGAACCCTCGACATTCCGGCTTGCAGTATAGTAAAGTGACCAATTATGAGCTGGACGAACGAGATTCATCCCCTGCTTCGTCGTCAAATCCAGACCGGCTCTAGGACCAGTCTAACCTCCTGTGTAACGGGTACAGGTGATAACGGGTCTAGAATCTGACAAAGACTACTCACATCCATGTAGTACGAAGTCAAAACGCTTGAGCCTTACCTCAGTTCCTCCATAAGCCTTCATGGCTCGACGCTTGAAACAGCAGAAACAATTTTACCTTGTAAGGATAATTATTTGAACGGGCTAATAATTGTCACCAGTCCATTGCCAAAATCGTGACATTCTAGCATCTTGTTAGACATAAATATTACCACCGTTTACGTTGAGAGCAACACCAGAGTAATGCAAGGCCTGGTAAGGTAAAGCTATCTCTGTAACACGTCGAGGAGTTCCATAGGTTTGTGAGAGGTCGAGGCTCCAAAATGTCTGAACAGCCGGTTCACATTTGTCGGTAAGGTTGTCAGTTTACGCGGCGGCCGCTCTTTAACGGAAGGAAGATTCTTGGTACTCACTTCGACCACAGGGCCATAGTTCGGATGGAAGGATTAGGTAAAATGTAAAATCCAATTATCTCATTGGGAATCGAACCTGCGACCTTCCGGCTTGTAGCATAGTACCTTAACCAACTACGTTACCACGTGCCCGAAGAAAGGTCTGTAACAGCCTAGATATATATTACCGAAAACTCAGTGTATTGCGTAGGAACTGGAGTGGGAGCAGCCGTAATGACGACACTAGGCCTGTTAGTGCTGAAAAGTAGTAAAGGTAGTGGAAAGAGCAACTTTGTAATTTCAGAGAAGGCTCGAACTGGGTATTTACAAGGAATTCGGGAGAAGAACATTAGATGTTTTGTTTTCACGGATGGACATAAAAAAGAATAGAAAATTATACTAATTATGCTATGGTACGTGAGTCAAGGGGAATTGGAATAGTTACATTTTCGTCATCGTATTCTCCAAATGGAATTACATTTTTAATATTCTGTTTTAAAAACTGCTGCTTGTATCTCTATCATGCATACTCGTACTATCATGTGTAGGGGGTGTGCGCGTGACTTATAGACGGGTTTCGGATTGGATGATTGGATTTACTGGCACCATAGTCACACAACTAGAGACTACAGGCGACACAGCGCTATCGAAATTTCCACACTTTAAAGTTCACCGTTACACACGCACTGGGATTCCCAGTCTTCACTATTCGTATCCACGCGATGAATCCTTAAGTCTCACTTTCACTTGAAATCACACATGAAGCGTGTCATCCTTTCGGTCGGTGCAAAGTGGTTACAAAGAAGAAATGCAGAGTCGAGTTTCGGGACACCAGCCTGCCGGGATATGAACTTGGGAGCAGAGAAATCGAATCCAGTCGGCGATAATGGCAAGAAGGGCATTAGGCAGTGCAAAGAAGACTTCATGTGTGATTTGAAGTTACAGTGAGACTGATATAAATCCGTTGCCAGAATACGACTAGTGAAGACCGAGAATCCTAGTGTATGTGCAACGGTGAACTGTAATTTATGTAAATCAGCGAAAGCGCTGTATTGCCTGTAGTCCAGAGTTGTGAATGTATACGGGGCAATAATTATGTATTTCAGCATCCCTTTGCAATTGTAGTAGACTAGTAAAGACAACACCGCATGCTGTGGAGGAAGGACACACAAACCAGGAGCATATGGCAGTCAAAACCTGAAAGTAGACCACGAACGTGAGGGGCAAGCTACCGACAAAAACACCTTGATACATTCACAAAAATGACGACATCCCGTGTGAGGTGAAATAATACGTAACAAAAATTGTACAGGATTTTATCTCGTTTTACTTAAGAAGACTACAGCGTGTGATTTGAACACGAATTAAAATAGTGTAGCAGTTTTTAACAGAGTTTTAGTAAAAAATATATGCAACATAAAAACATATGAAGATGGCCATTTGAGGCCGAAACATGTAGTGTTGAAGTGTAGAATGTAAAAGTGTTGCAATTTTGACGGAAGATAAACAATGTAGGCTACAGTGCAATAAATCCAATCATCCAATCCCAAACCGGTCTCGCAAATCACGCGCAAGCCTCTGCACGTAAGAATATGAAAACTGAACAGAACACTGAGAACACAAATCGACCGCAAATCGACTGCACAATTACCACAGGGCACTCACTGAACAGGGGTGCGGTCTGTTAGCCGTTTAGTGCCGATGCCTACCGTAGCAGATCCATTTGCACCTGTGGACAAATCATGTAAAATAATAAAAAGTAATAAATCTATGTGCAGGATTTCCACTATCTCAAAGTTGTGAAAGGCTGTTTTGGGTAATCTTGCAGCCGCCATCTTTGTAATATTCAGAAAACGAACTACAACAAAATGTAGTCCGTTGAGAGTCAACAGACTTTTCGGAGAAACCTTCATAACCACGGCTGTGAGGACCTTAAGTTCTACTAACTAATACCTCATTCAAATGTGTAAATATGTTCATACTCCCATACAAAACCTGATATCCCATTCCTAGTTACAATTATTCACGTCCTTTGCCACTCAAAGGCAGGTGCAATCTCAATTTGTACTCACACCTGAAGCTGCATTCAATTGTGTTCTGTTGTATCATACAGAAACACGGTCTTAACGAAAGATAAACACAAGCTTACAGTTCCAAGTTGGTATTGCTCATGATCATAAAGATTTCAGAATAGTAAGATGTTCATTGGGTTTTATGAAAATTGATCATATTTTGACGCGACGCCTGAAGGCCGCGACCCCCCACCTGCTGAGCGGCAGTTTCGCGTAGGATTTTCCTAGTAACGGATATAGAACCGCTTCAGTTCCCGCGGCAACCAACAGGCTGGAGACCGTTGCATCGAAAACGCGAAATAGAACCCTTCGCGGTGTATTTTAGACCGTCTGAATGTCGAATATAACAGAATGAGAAGTGCAGAAGTGAAGACAGAATATGACAGCAGACACAAGCCGGAAGAAGAACCAGAGTACGAGAGAATTCCAGAAGACTAAAGGCCCAAGATGCAGACAACAGTGAGGGATTCGGTATCCAGAAGGAGTTGAATGTGTGAATTATTATAACCAAGGCCCGGATTTTGATGACCTGAAAATATTTTAAAAATGACCTATAAAATGAGCGAAAAAATCCAGAAAAAATACCTAAAATATGACCCAAAAATATAATATGCAGGGCCCGGATTTTGATGACCTGAAAATATTAAAAAAAATGACCTATAAAATGACAGAAAAAATCCAGAAAAATGACCTAAAGGAGAAAAGAAAGAACACTTCGCTTCCATGTTATTCACATTTCAGAAAACATATCAAGAAAAATTCCCTAAAATGGCCAAAAATGACAAGAAATACCCTTAAAAGTCCAAAAATTTACCAAAAAATTACCCCCAAAATGAACAAAGAACCTTAAACCTAAAAATGTAAAAAAATTACCTATAAAATGTACATTTCTGTAACCAGCAGCTCATATCCCAGATTTATATATTTAAGAGCATCGCATAGGATACAAGGAAAAAAAGATGACATGTCATCAAAATCCGGGCCCTGATTATAACCGAGTGTAATTGTGTTAGTGACGTCAAAGTAACTTAATCGTCAAATTCAGAAACCACAATTGTTAGTCACGCTACCCCTTACACGTGACAATTTGGTTTAAACTCCTTTAGGGAAATATACATACAGACACATACACGTATGAATTTGAAGATACCATGCTTGATGAATCTTTTAAAATAAGGGAAGTGATCACCAGATTTTTGTAGGGCTCCATTGTGAGGAGCGCAGTAACAAAGCCAGAGATTTCAGTACTAGAAATTTCGCAGCTGGAACTTAAGATAAGGTTTTCGGGTTCGGCACTAGGCTGCGTCGAGTGCTAAAGGTTTGCCGAAACGTAGAAACACTCAGAACATTCGACACGGCCTAGTCGCGAAAGCCGAAGCCACTTATGAAGCCTGAGATACCTGCCATAGACTGAAAGCGGTACAAAGACTATGTTAACTGGCGGT